TCTTCGACAAAGCAGGAAAGAATGTCCAATGGAAAAAAGACACCCTCTTCAATAAATGGTGTTGGGAAAATTGGACAGCCACATGCAGAAAAATGAAATTGGATCATTTCCTTACACCACACACGAAAATAGACTCAAATGGATGAAGGACCTCAATGTGAGAAAGGAATCCATCAAAATCCTTGAGGAGAACACAGGCAGCAACCTCTTCGACCTCAGCCGCAGCAACATCTTCCTAGGAACATCGCCAAAGGCAAGGGAAGCAAGGGCAAAAATGAACTATTGGGATTTTATCAAGATCAAAAGCTTTTGCACAGCAAAGGAAACAGTTAACAAAACCAAAAGACAACTGACAGAATGGGAGAAGATATTTGCAAACGACATATCAGATAAAGGGCTAGTGTCCAGAATCTATAAAGAACTTAGCAAACTCAACACCCAAAGAACAAATCATCCAATCAAGAAATGGGCAGAAGACATGAACAGACATTTCTGCAAAGAAGACATCCAGATGGCCAACAGACACATGAAAAAGTGCTCCATATCACTCGGCATCAGGGAAATACAAATCAAAACCACAATGAGATACCACCTCACACCAGTCAGAATGGCTAAAATTAACAAGTCAGGAAATGACAGATGCTGGCGAGGATGCGGAGAAAGGGTAACCCTCCTACACTGTTGGTGGGAATGCAAGCTGGTGCAACCACTCTGGAAAACAGCATGGAGGTTCCTCAAAATGTTGAAAATAGAACTACCCTATGACCCAGCAATTGCACTGCTGGGTATTTACCCTAAAGATACAAAAGTAGTGATCCGAAGGGGCACATGCACCCGAATGTTTATAGCAGCAATGTCTACAATAGCCAAACTATGGAAAGAACCTAGATGTCCATCAACAGACGAATGGATAAAGATGATGTGGTATATATACACAATGGAATACTATGCAGCCATCAAAAGAAATGAAATCTTGCCATTTGCGATGACGTGGATGGAACTAGAGGGTATCATGCTTAGCGAAATAAGTCAATCGGAGAAAGACAACTATCATATGATCTCCCTGTTATGAGGGAGAGGAGATGCAACATGGGGGTTAAGGGGGTAGGAGAAGAGTAAATGAAGCAAGATGGGATTGGGAGGGAGATAAAACCATAAGTGACTCTTAATCTCACAAAACAAACTGAGGGTTGCTGGGGGGAGGGGGTTGGAAGGGAGGGGTGGGGTTTTATGGACATTGGGGAGGGTATGTGCTATGGCGAGTGCTGTGTAGTGTGTAAACCTGGCAATTCACAGACCTGTACCCCTGGGGAAAAAATATATATGTTTATAAAAAATAAAATTTAAAAAAAAAAGAAAACCTAACCTGTTCATTGTTATCACTGTGTTACTGCAAACACATATTCATTTGTGAAATAAAAATATAGTAATGATAATAAAGAAAGCTAAGGCATAAAAAACACAATGTATGTATTTGACACATGGAGGTCCTCAAGAAATTTTAGCTAATTTAACAAAGGCATCGTTCTCATTTACTGTGTATTTGCAAGTTTCCAGTTCCTGTTCCAGGAGATTTATATTTGTATTAACATGTGAAACGATTGTGACCTATTTTTTTCCTATGTAGGCTCCACACCCAGTGTGGGGGCCAGTGGGGAGGGCTTGAACTCACCACCAGAGATCAAGACCTGAGCTGAGATCAAGAGTTGGAGGTTTAGCTGACTGAGCCACCCAGGTGGCCCTGTGATTTATTTTCTAAATGTAACTGCACATATGAACACTGCTGGGGTTTTTTTTCCTCTTGTGCCCTTTTTTTCTTTTTGCTATTTTTGTTTTTGAATAATGTTACATTTACAGAAAAGTTACAAAAATAATTCAGAGTTCCCATGGTAATGAAAACATTTTGGAATCAGATAGAAGCAATGATTGCTAAACACATTAAATGTACTTTCTTGCCATGGAATGTTACTTTAAAATGGCTCCTGGGTTTTACATATGTGTTTTGTATCAAATGCATTACTAAAATCATACTCAGTTCAGAGGTTTTCAGCTGCCAACTCGCTACCCGCAGTCAACCCATTATCTTTCATAGTGAAAAGTGTTGCGTCTTCCATATTGAACAGCCCTTACATCTTTTTCTTCTTGAATTGCATTAGCTGTAATTTCCCAGGTGTTGGTAAACAACAATTGAAATAGTAGACTTTTTTATCGTCTTTCAAATTGTCATAATTTTTTTCTTCCAAGATTTTTTTTTTAATTTCTTTTCAGAAATTGAAGAAGACACAAAAAGATGGAAGACCATTCCATGCTCTTGGATCGGAAGAATAAACATTGTTAAAATGTCTATACTGCCTAGAGCAATCTATACTTTTAATGCCATTCCGATCAAAATTCCACCGGTATTTTTCAAAGAGCTGGAGCAAATAATCCTAAAATTTGTATGGAATCAGAAGAGACCCCGAATCGCTAAGGAAATGTTGAAAAACAAAAATAAAACTGGGGGCATCACGTTACCTGATTTCAAGCTTTACTACCTCTTTGTTTCGTTGACTGTTTCCTTTGCTGTGCAGAAGCTTTCAATCTTGATGAAGTCCCAAAAGTTCATTTTCGCTTTTGTTTCCTTTGCCTTTGGAGACATATGTTGAAAAAATCGATTCCATTTACTATAGCACCAAGAACCATAAGATACCTGGGAATCAACCTAACCAAAGAGGTAAAGGATCTGTACTCAAGGAACTACAGAACACTCGTGAATGAAATTGAGGAAGACACAAAAAGATAGAATACCATTCCATGCTCTTGGATCGGAAGAATAAACATTGCTAAAATGTCTATACTGCCTAGAACAACCTATACTTTTAATGCCATTCCAATCAAAATTCCACCGGTATTTTTCAAAGAGCTGGAGCAAATAATCCTAAAATTTGTATGGAATCAGAAGAGACCCCAAATTGCTAAGGAAATGTTGAAAAACAAAAATAAAACTGGGGGCATCACGTTACCTGATTTCAAGCTTTACTACAAAGCTGTGATCACCAAGACAGCATGGTACTGGCATGAAAACAGACACATAGACCAGTGGAACAGAGTAGAGAGCCCAGATATGGACCCTCAACTCTATGCGCAAATAATCTTTGACAAAGCAGGAAAAAATATACAGTGGGAAAAAGTCTCTTCCATAAATGGTGCTGGGAAAATTGGATGGCTATATGTAGAAGAATGAAACTCGGCCATTCTCTTACACCGTACACAATGATAAACTCGAAATGGATAAAAGACCTCAACATGAAACAGGAATCCATCAGAATCCTAGAGGAGAACATAGGCAGTAACCTTTTTGATATCAGCCACAGCAACTTCTTTCAAGATATGTCTCCAAAGGCAAAGGAAACAAAAGCGAAAATGAACTTTTGGGACTTCATCAAGATCAAAAGCTCAATGTGGGGTTTTTTTGTTTTTTCTTTGTTTGTTTGTTTGTTTTTAATTTTTTTTTATTTTCAGCGTAACAGTATTCATTGTTTTTTGCACCACACCCAGTGCTCCATGCAATCTGTGCCCTCTCCAATACCCACCACCTGGTTCCCCCAACCTCCCACTCCCCACCCCTTCAAAACCCTCAGATTGTTTTTCAGAGTCCATAGTCTCTCATTGTTCACCTCCCCTTCCAATTTCCCCCAACTCCCTTATCCTAACTCCTCATGTCCTCCATGCTATTTGTTATGTTCTACAAATAAGTGAAACCATATGATAATTGACTCTCTCTGATTGACTTATTTCACTCAGCATAATCTCTTCCAGTCCCATCCATGTTCCTACAAAAGTTGGGTATTCATCCTTTCTGATGGAGGCATAATACTCCATAGTGTATATAGACCACATCTTCCTTATCCATTCGTCCGTTGAAGGGCATCTTGGTTCTTTCCACAGTTTGGCGACCATGGCCATTGCTGCTATAAACATTGGGGTATGGATGGCCCTTCTTTTCACTACATCTATATCTTTGGGGTAAATACCCAGTAGTGCAATGCCAAGGTCATAGGGAAGCTCTATTTTTAATTTCTTGAGGAATCTCCACGCTGTTTTCCAAAGTGGCTGCACCAACTTGCATTCCCACCAACAGTGTAAGAGGGTTCCCCTTTCTCCACATCTCTCCAACACATGTTGTTTCCTGTCTTGCCAATTTTGGCCATTCTAACTGGTGTAAGGTGATATCTCAATGTGGTTTTAATTTGAATCTCCCTGATGGCTAGTGATGATGAACAATTTTTCATGTGTCTGATAGCCATTTGTATGTCTTCATTGGAGAAGTGAACTAACTAGATTTTAAATAAAAACTACACCCACACACACAAAGAAAAAAGAGACAAAAAAATCTCTTAACTAAAGAGAACAAACTGGTCATTTGTGGGTGAGGATTGGGTGAAATAGGTGAAGGAGACTACGGAGTACACTTATCATGATGAGAACTGAGACATGTATAGAATTGTTGAATCATTATATTGTACACCTGAAACTAAACTTTTACGTTAACTATACTGGAATTTAGAAAATAATTTTTTAAATGTATAAATAAATAAGTAAATGAGAAACTCTAGGACACTATATTTATAAATTATATTTTTGCTGAAATTATATAGGGACATTGATACTATAAATGAAATATAAATGATGATTAAAAATAATAATATTGGTGGGTTTTTTTTAACAGAAGGAACACCCAAGGTCCAGAGGATCTAAGATAAAGAAATTACAGAAAGGCAGTACAATGAAAGAACCTGGCAAAGATTAGAAGATTTGCCTGGCATTCAAGAATTCTCCATTCCCACAAGCACTGAGCAGAAAGCACAAGAGCAGGCATCAAGGATGACTGCTTAGGGATGAAGACAAGCACTAGAGCAGAGCTCCTCAAACCTGGTGTGTACCAGAGTCCCCAGGAGGGCCTGTCAAGGCACAGAATGCTGGCTCCCCACCCAAAGTGTCTGATTCATTAGGTCAGGTGGGCCCGAAAAATGTGTATTTCCAACACAGTTCCCAGGTGACGCTGATGATGCTGGTCAGGGATCACAATTTGAGAACCACTGATCTTAGAGAAAATTTTTCCAGGTAACAATGGTAACCATAATTTGTCAGCAATGAAGGTCAATCATTAGTCAAAATGAATGATTTCATGAATCCCCTGAGTTTGGATTAAGGAAATTACTATCATTCTGGAAAATGCTTATTTGGAGTGAATCTTGTGCTGCTTTTTTCCTCCTTCTGGGCAAACCCAGTAGCCCCATGAAAAGAGGAAACCAAACAGGAGTTGGGAATTTTCTCCTCCAGGGTTTCTCAGAGGAACTGGACATGCAGTCTTTCTTCTTTGGGCTGTTCCTGTCCATATTCTTGGTCACCTTCACTGGGAACCTGCTCATCTTCCTAGCCATCTGCTCAGACTCCCACCTCCACACACCCATGTACTTCTTCCTCTCCAACTTGTCCTTTGCTGACATCTGTTTCACCTCCACCACCATCCCCAAGATGCTGCTGAACATCCAGACTCTGGACAAAACCATAACATATGAAGGATTCCTCAGCCAGATTTTTTTTTTCATTGTATTTGCATGCCTGGACAATTTACTCCTGACCGTAATGGCCTATGACCGCTTTGTGGCCATCTGTCACCCCCTGCACTACTCGGTCATCATGAACCCCAGGCTCTGTGGGCTGTTGGCCCTGGGGTCCTGGTGCATCAGTGTCATGGGCTCCCTGCTCGAGACCTTGACCCTTTAGGAGTGTCATGGGCTCCCTGCTCGAGACCTTGACCCTTTGGGGGCTGTGCTTCTGCAAAAACATGGAAATCCCACACTTTTTCTGTGATCTTCCTGAAGTCCTGAAGCTTTCCTGTTCTGACACCCTCATCAATAACACAGTGAATTATTTTGTGAATATTGTCCTAGGTCTTTTTCCTCTCTCTGGAATCCTCTTTTCATATTCTCAGATTTTCTCCTCCATCCTGAAAATTTCATCAACCAGGGGAAAGTACAAAGCCTTTTCCACCTGTGGGTCTCATCTCTCAGTGGTCTCCTTGTTCTACGGCACAGGCCTTGGGGTCTACCTCAGTTCTGCAGTGACTTCATCTTCCAGGACAAGTCTGGTGGCCTCAGTGATGTACACTATTGTCACCCCCATGCTGAACCCCTTCATCTACAGCTTGAGGAACAGGGACATGATGGGGGCCCTAGCTGCACTCCTCAGGAAGGAGGTGCCTCTCAGCATCAGGACCATTATAGGACTCTCCTGAGTACCTGGGCACACAATACTGAAGACCACAAATCTTAGTTTCCTTCATGCAATATTTTTTATTTTTCCTAATTTTACATGTTTTCAAGCAAGATTCCTTGGTTTTTCCCTGCCCTCTATTTTTCTTCAGGTTCCCTTGTGCATTCTTTTTTTCATTCTGTAACTAGTCATTTTAACTTGATCTGAATAGAACCTGCTATTCTCTCAGTAACCTTCAGTGATGGTTTGGATTTCTTGAAAAATAAATCAAATCTCATGTGTTTAATAGACATATTCAAGGTGATAGGATGTGTGCCTAATTGGGAAACGTCGCCTTGCAAACTCATTTAGATGTTCTGAGGTTATGTGAATGGAATCAAGTCAAAGATTTGTGTCCAAAACTATGAGAAAATAAATTCCTATTGCTTAAGCCACCAATCTGGTACTTTGTCATCACAGCCCTAGCAAACTAATACACCCTGCCTCCACAAGATTTCTACTGACACAGACCATGGGCTAGAGGCAGAAATTCTGTTTGAGATTGGGATCCCAGGCAAATCTCCCAAGAGTCAAATGTGGAGTAGGATGTTCTATAAGCATCTTGTCTTTGCATGGACTTTTCCAGTCACTGGCATAAATGTTTCCATGGTGACTGCAAATAAAGAATTCTTGGATCCCTTCTTCCACATTCTCCCATTTACATAGCCCAAGGGTTCTCTTGGGATCCTAAAGAATGGGGGGAGGCATCCCTAAACATACCTGTGTTGGAATGTCCCTTCCCCCTTGAGAGAGGTAGGTGCTCAAGTGAACTTTATTTGATTTAGAAAAAGCTAATATTGTGTTCCCTAGACAAAAGGATTATAGAGTTAAGTTATACCCATGACGTCTGGAATTATATTACTCTCTATTTACTTGGGTTTTCCCCCAGTTTTATTAAGGTCTCATTTAATGTCCCACCTGGTTCATTAGGCTTGCCTGTGTAGTAAGGAGAAACAGAACTTCCCGAGGTCAGCATGGGTGTCTGAGCCAACTGGTTTCAGCAGTCAAGAGTTGGGACTACAAGATGCTGCTACTCATCCCTATGGGAAGCTGATTCCTCAATTACCAGCCATGGGTGTATGAAGTAAAGGGTTAACTGGAAGGGCTAGGGGTACTCAGAGCCTACATATTCCAAAGAAAGGACTTGCCCTTGATCAGCTCCCAGGAAATAACATCTGAGTCCTTGGAATATCCTCCCTGATAAAAGTGTCTTTGTAACCTAGGGCCCTGTACCATGCCAGGTTGTCTATGTTGACCATGTAATTTATGGTGAATGCCTGTTTTTGTTCACCTGGAGCCCTGGACAAAACTATATTCACTTGACTTGTGTGGGGCTGAAGCACTCCATGCCTACAAGACAGAACCCCCAATAAAAATCCTGGACACCAAGGCTAAGGTGAGCTTCCTTGGCTGGCATATGTACTGTCACCCATCACTGCTGAGAGAATTAAGGGTGTCCATGGGATTCCACAGAGGGGACAATTGGAAGCCCACATCTGGTGTCTTCTGGACCCTGCCCCAGGCAACTTTTGTCCTTGCAGATTTTAATCTGTATCCTCTCACTGCAGTAAGTCATAAACGTGAGCATCACAGCTTTTCCAAGTTCCATGTGTCCTAGCAAATCACTGATGGTCATGGGGACCCCCAACACAGAGATCATGAATATTGTTTTATTATAATAAATGGTAGTTTTCCTTTACCTCTTTCAATTCCACCACTCCTTGAGAAAATAAATAACATAAGCTGACCCCTCAGCTTGTGGGACCCAAAGCTGTCCTCACCCCCAGTCCCAGGAGAAGTTTTTCCTCCCTGCCTTGCTCACTGCCCTCTACAAGTTCTTCCCATGCACTTAGAGAGAAATGGAGGCCTTGGACATCCTTTCGTCCCTGCTCCTTTATCTCTGTTTCCACCAAACAAGCCAGACAGAACATGTGTGTTCAGTGCACAGTCATTCGGGCAGCAGGTCTTCCCTAGGACATCCCCCCCCCAACCCCAGCCCTATTCCCTCCTCTCTGAGCGGCAGAGCTGGGGGCCCCTCACATGGCACTCTCGTTGCCTCCCCGTCCCCTGGACGTCCCCTTCTCTTGTGCCATGAGTGACTTGTAGGGCTTCCCCAGGCTGGGGAGGGTAAGCTCAGCTTCCTGCAGCTCCAGCTCCCGCTGGGACAAATGCTCAATGACGGCAGCTCCAATAGAGTCCCCCAGAACATTGGTCATTGTGCGAAGTCGGTCACTGGGGAAGGGTGGGGAGAGAGAAGCCACTGTTAGCTGAGATTTGAAGAGCTCATGGAGGAGAGGGTACATCAGGGTGGGAGGTTCCTTGTGTCTGGGATGTGGGGCTCATGTTCCATCCACAACCACATAACCTCATGCAGGTGCCTCCCGCTTGATGTCCTCAGTTTCCCCTCCTCCTAACAGATGTACGTTGGATCAACTCTGATAAGCTCACGTGATCTTAGCATTGCAATTCTTTTTTTTTTTTTTTTTAAGGATATAAACATCTGATAGAGAAAATTAGGGGCTGTGGGCTGAACAGCATATAGGATGAGGAAGATAACAACTGTGAGCAAATCAGGCCAGCCTGGACCCTGTCTAAGTGGAACTCAGATCCACCTGACTGCTCCTAAATGGGAAGGAAAGTCCAGATTTTTTTAATGTAAGCCTTCTGTTTTTCAAAGTTAAATATTTAAAACACAAACTAAAAACAACAAAAATTGCAAGCCAGCTCTGTCCCGTGGATCACCTTTTTGTGACTTCTCCAGGGACAAGGGCTTTTCAGGCTCATCAGTAAAGCCCCCATTGCTCATCTCCTCCCCATCCTACTCCCCAGGTTAACTCTATGGGATTTGGGATCTACAGGCCATGGTTTGGAGTATTCTCCAAGACTTTCCTTCTACTCTAAAATTCTACAACTCTGTCCTTGCTGGAATGAGGGCCCACGGGTTAGGGGTCTCACAAGGAAAGCGGGGATGGGGTTGAGGAAAGATAGCACCAGGGCCTGAAGAACACTCACAGGAACCAGTCCACAGCTATGATCAGCGTGATGTCTTCAGTGGGCAGGCCGACTGATGTGAGCACAATGACCATGGTGACCAGACCTGCCTGGGGGATGCCAGCAGCCCCAACGCTGGCTGCTGTCGCCGTGATACTGTACATGAAGAGAGAACACAGGGAGGAGGCAGGAGGTGGGAAGGAGAAGATGAGGAAGAGAGTGAGAAAGGGCACAACAGAAGGGAAGAGGTGGTTCCCTGGAACATCTTAAATTAAGTGCCTGAAAATAAAAAGCAGCCTTCAATAAATGTATTCTTTCAACTCATATTTATTGAGCATCTACTACACGCTAGACACCTAGTAGAAACTCCCTTAAAAGAAAATCCCTGCCCAAACAGAGCTTACATTCTAGTGGGGGAGGCAGGCAATAAATAAGATGAGTACTTAAAACATATACTAAGGCAGAGGGTGCAACAGAGAAACAGTTCGGCCTATGAAAGTCCAAACCATGCCACTTTAAATAGAATATTCAGGAAACACTTCCCTAAGCAGTTGACACTGGACCAAAGACCTGAAGGATGTGATGTTTGCCGTTACATTTAAAATGACCATACGGAACCTCTGGGTAATGAGACCCAGGGATCCATCCTTCTTTTCAGAGCCTCAGGTTATTAGGGTGCACCAGCCATACTTTGGAGAATACTGGGCAAAGGGATCTCCCACCATAGCATGTGAGAGAAGATGGGACTGAAACGTCTAGCCAGCTCCTGATAGCCTCAGGTTGCACAGTCTCACCTTTAGCCTCATTTGGCATGGGTAGCTGGGGTCTTCCCACATCCCCCCTCCAATATTCAAAGCCTCCCTTGACATCAAGAAGCTGAGGCTCCCTCCACCCCTAGCCAACCTAATGACTTCTTAGATCTCACCTGCTGGCAGATCCCACCCAGGATCACCTCACCTGATGGTCGTGATCTGGCCCAGGTTGAGCTCATAGTTGTTGACTTGGGCGATGAAGATGGCAGCCAGGGCCTCATACAGAGCAGTCCCATCCATGTTAACAGTGGCCCCCACAGGCAGCACGAACCTGGTGATGCGTCGGTCCACACCCAGGCCCTCCTCCAAGCAGCGGAAGGTGATGGGCAGTGTTGCAGAGCTAAGGGAGAGAGCCCTGGAGGCTGAGAATGGGAAGTGGCAGGGAGGGACTGGAGTAGCCATGGGCCAAAGGTGGGATTCTGCTGAGAACACTGGGAGACCAGGTGGGAGCCAGAGCAAGGGGAGGATGGCAGGAGCATAACATTTCAGAGGTTGGTAACTGTGCACGGGGAATAAGGGCTCCTCATGATGCAAGAAGCACATGGCAATGGTAATCCCCTAGGTTGAAGGTCTCTTGACCCACTTAAAGGCAACAGCTTAAAGCTAATTACTAGACACTTATTCATGCCACTGGTGAACTTTCCACTCCCAGAAAGGAAAGGACTAGGGGTCTACTGACTTCCCACACCCTCAGGGTTAAAAGAGAAGCATTACATAGACCCCTAATCCCCACTCATGTAGCTCAGGGAGCAACATCAGCTACACTAACCCTCCTGGTCTCTCTCCCCAGCACTCCACAGCAATGGAAGAGCAGTCGAACTGACTGGGGAATTTAGTTGAAGGAATGGACATCTCACTTGGAGTCGACCACAAAACATGTGGTCTGGTCAGCTTGATGTCATGCAGTGAGAAGCCTGGCCTCACAAAGAAGGCCTCTGGGGATCCAACCCTGTGGTGATCGGGTGAGTGTCATTCTGGGCTACAATGGCATCAATCTTATTGGCAAAAGACCAAAAGGCGCATTCTCCAGGCAGCATTATGAGTAACAACAATGATATTATTCTTCAACCCCCTTGGCTCTCGTGATACTTCTCAAACCTCTTTGAATTTGGATGACGGAGAAAGGGGAAGCTCTTTACTAACCCCATAAAACCACAAAAAAGGGGGAAGGAGGAGAAAGGAGCCAAGTGAGCTCCCAGAGACCATTTCGAGGGGAAATGAGACTCTGAGCTAGAAAATGACACAGAATAGGGAGCACCTTTGTCCTAACCTCAAATTGGCAGCTGGTTCTCCTCCACATAAAATAGAGAAATAGAAAATGTGGAAAACAGGTCAGTAGAACCAGTTTGGGACGAAGATCAGCACCCAGGTGTCGACTGGCCTGCAGAACTTCAGGAACCACTAACATTACCACATAGTTCAGACGAGTTTTAGTACAGGGATTGGGGGCCAGGACTCTTAGGAGAGCCTGTGAACAACTGACAGTGAACCTCAGAAAAGTGCTGGGGGTGGGGGATGAAGCCATACCTGGAAGACGTGCCCATGGCAGTGATGAGGGCCTGCAGCATGCCCCCA